TTAACTTAGTAGGTTCAAGGACCAAAAAGGAGGTGTATCTGGAGCTGATGGGACCGGAGTGGGTGAAAGCCAGCTCACCAGGACCTCATAGGCCATAGAGAAAATTTCCATTTCATTTTGAATGCAGTGGAGAATCATTAAAGGGCCTTAGAAGAGTAACATAACAGGGCTGTTTTTTAAAAAGATCACCCTGATTGTTGTGTAAAGAAGAAAATTTAGGGGTCAAGAAAGGAAATGGTGAGACCAGCTAGGAAACAATTAAAGGAAGATGGCAGTGTGGCCTGGGATGGTGACCATGTTGCTGAGGAGCTACGAGTAAATGAGACACATTTTGAACCAGTTAAGACTTGCTGATAGAGTGGATGAAGGAGTGAGAGTTAACTAGGTTTGTGCCTTTGTGTCCAGGCCCATGGTGGCAATGAATTAGGGGAAACTGATGGAGGGCCATGTTTGGGAGAGAAAACCAAGAGTTTTAGTTGGGACACATTAATTTTGCTCCACCTATGAGACACTGAAGTGGAAGTATGAATTGGGGCAATTGTTAAAAGAATCTGGAACTTAGTAGAGAAAAGCATTTGGGCATCTTCACCTGAGAAGTAGTGTTAATAGAAAACTTGAATTGATCAATAATCAAGCCAAAGGGATAAAGGTCAAAATTCAAACTCCAGTATTTCGAGTGGATCTTGCTCTCAGTTACCCAGCCTCCTGCAATACAGGTGTCAAAACCTAAAAGAAAATACCACCAAACTGACTTCAACATTTTAGTAAAAGAAGAATACATTGTGACCAATAAGGTTTATTTAAGGAATACAAGGATGGTTCAAAACCAGGAAATCTATTAATAGGTTAAGAGAAAGAAAAAAAAAGATTCTCTGCAAATGTTGAAAAGTTTTTAATTAAAATCAACATTCATTTCTGATTTTTTTAAGTTGAAGTTGTTAAAATGGTTTCTACAGAACTAGAAGGTAGTTCCTTTCCATCAACAAGAATCACTATCACAACATATAGCCCACACCCTATCTTAATTAAAAAAGGAAAAGCATTCTCATTAATGTAGTAAACAAGGTAAGAATGCAAGCAATCACTCTTGTTATAGAATTTTTAACCAGGTATGATTTTCTACCTGGAAAATCAACCCAAAACATCTCAAAATACACAAGTGAGCCTATTAGGGTGGCAGTTTTTGAAATCAATATATAACAAAAAGAGTCCCCAAATTAATTGGAATTAAGTTAGAAGATTTAGCACGGAAAAAACAATCCACCCATAATGACCATAAACAAACAAATAAATAAATAAATAAAGAAAAATATCTAAGAGTTAATCTAATAAATAGTACTTTTATGAGGAATGTGATAAAATTTTAATTAAAGACATAAAGGAAGACTAGAAAAAAAGAGAAAGACATAAAGTCTTTCGTTGGGAAAACCAATACTGAAAGATACCACTTCATTTCAAAATAATCCAGAAAGTTAACAGTTTTAGTCAGAATTCAAAGGAGATTTCAAAGAACATGAGGAAATGATACTCAAAATTAAGAAGACTGAAGAAACTATTGAACAGGAAGAAAATCTAGGGCACACTTAGCCTGCCAGGTGTTAGAATGCATTGCAAAGCTGCAATAAATAAGATCACATGGCATTGGCACATGAACAGAATGACAGAGCAATGGAACTACAGAAGGTCCAAAAAAAGATCCATAGATTACCCCAATCATCCTATTCCCTCCCATGTGTACAAGGAGTCAGAGCCGGTAGGAACCTGCCCAGTGGTTGTATGCCACGGGTCAAATTTCTGATACCCACAACATGTTACAACTTGAAACCTAGTTAAATTGGGAAGTGGCACCAAACAGCGTCCCCACCAATCCCCACCGCCCTGAGGAAATTTCCCGAATTAAGTAGAACTCATTTGTTATACAGTAGATCCTCCTTATCTGTGGGGAATACATTCTAAGACTCCTAGTGGATGCCTGAAACCATGGATAGTACTGAAACTTACATATACTATTTTTTTTCTGTATATACTTATCTATGGTAAGTTTGATTTATAAAATAGGCACACTAAGAGACCATTAACAGCTGATAATAAAATAGAACAATTTTAACAATATACTGTAGTAAAAGTTATGTAAATGTGGTCTCTCTCTTCTCTCAAAATATCATCCTTGCCCTAGCTGGTTTGACTCAGCATCAGCCAGAGGACTGAAGGGTCCAGGGCTTGATTCCAGTCAAGGGCAGTCAAGGGCATGTACCTTGGGTGCAGGCTCGATCCCCTGTGCTGGTCAGGGCACGTGTGGGAGGCAACCAATTGATGTCTCTCTCACACTGATGTTTCTCTCTCTGTCTCTCCCCCATCCCTTCTACTCTCTCTAAAAATCAATGAAAAAAATATCCTCGGGTGAGGATTAACAACAACAACAAATATATATTTCACCCTTCATGATGTGAGATGATACAATGCCTATGTGACAAGATGAACTGAGGTGCTCAGACCTGTGTTCAATTTAAAACTCATGACTTGCTTATTTCTGGGATTTTTCCATGTAATATTTTCAAACTGAGGTTTACCATGGGTAACTGAAACTGCAGAAAGCAAAACCATGGATAAAAGGGGACTACTGTATTTTAATTTTTTTGAGATCATTGCCCTTTACGGAATCTGATGCAAGCTATACCAAATTTTGCAAAGTATTTTGGGCTTTTCACTACTCTGAAGCCCAGTTCTGGATTGAACAGGGCAAAGGTCCCGAACCTGATCCATCTCAGAATTACTTACGGAGCTTTTAAAAAGCAACATTGCTGGAGCCTATCCCAGGCCAGCAGCCAGGGAGTTTCTAGCGATGGGATTTGGGACTTTATAATAAAACTTCCCTGGGAATTGCACTTCTAGCCAGGCTTCGGAGCTAGGTCCCCAGAAGCCCAACGCTTAACATTATAATGCTTTTCATAAAAGGGCACACCTCCCTTGATGTGATCACACAATACAATGACAGTAGTAAGTAGAATACCAGAAGTAAAAAGATGAACAAATTGAGAAAAAAATTCTCCCCACTGTAGGAACTCCTGCACACACTATTTACTCAAGGATGACTTTATGATGCTGTAGCCATAAGCTCATTAGATACAGGCATGCTCTGAATGTTTAATACGAGGCAGTTCACAGCTGACATAGTCACCTTGGAAGAGGAAATAAGATCCGAAAAGGGAGAATGGGATAGGTAAATTAAAACTACAGCTTAGCAAAACTTTCCCCTCAAAACTTTTCATCAGTTGGTTGATAGTCACCTTCAGAGTTAATTTGGTGCAGGAATGTTTACGTTATTGTTTTATTTTTATACTAGAGGCCCAGTGCATGAAATTTGTGTGGGGGGAAGGGGCGTCCCCTCAGCCCAGCCTGCACCCTCTCCAATCTGGGACATCCCTCTCACAATCCTGGACTGCTGGCTCCTAATCGCTTACCTGCCAGCCTGCCTGGTTGCCCCCAACTGCCCCCCCCCCGCCATCTTGGTCACCCCTTACTGCCCCCGCTGCCAGCCTGGTCGCCCCCACTGCCTCCCTCTGCTGGCCCAATCGCCCCCAACTGCCCTCCCCAGCCAGCCAGATCGCCCCCAACTGCCCTCCCTTGAGGGCCCAATCGCCCCCAACTGCCCTACCCTGCCGGCCTGATTGCCCCCAACTGCCCTCCCCTGATGGCCTGGTCGCCCCCAACTGCCCTCCCCTGCCAGGCTGGTTGCCTACAACTGCCCTCCCCTGCCGGCCATCTTGTGACCACATGGGGGCAGCCATCTTGTGCAAGGGCATGACAGTCCATCTGCATATTACCTCTTTATTATATAGGATTCTATATTAAAATATCTTCTTCAATCTAAAGTTCATTTTCTTCTTCTCCCCGCCTCCCACTGACCCTCTCCACCCTATTCCCCTCGCCCCCACCCAGGCCTTCACAGCACTATAATTTTTTTGAGAAAATTCCATACTGTTTTCCATTGGCTGCTCCAATCTGCATTCCCATTATCTACTTTCATCTATTTCTTTAGCCCCAGGCAAGTTACGTTTGTGGCCCTCTTTCTAATGTTTTGACAATTTCTTCAAAATAAGTTTTCTGACTTGTAAACAGAAGATTATCAATTCAGTGCTTTTTGTGGCCCTCTTTCTAATGTCTTGACAATTTCTTCAAAATAAGTTTCTGACTTGTAAACAGAAGATTATCAATTCAGTGCTTTTTTTAAAAATTATTTTTAAATGGCTGCTGCCTTATATAATTCAGCATGATTCTAGAGAAAACTGTGGCCTTTTCTCTGCAAAATCAAGCTGATTTTACAAGAAAGGGTGATGCTATAGGTGTGAGGTACACATACAGGTCTCCAGAGCAGGAGCTTGTGATCACAGCCTTTCTAGACCCTATTTTCTGAGACAATTGGGGACTTTCAACCATCACAAGACCAAAGACATTCCACAGGGTACTTACATCTGTTGTGGCTCAGCTAAGTTGGATCTGTGCCTCCAGGAAGACAACGCTTCTTCGGCTTGGCTGAAACTGTTCAGTTTTCAAATATATTCAGGAGACCTTAAAAACAAAAAGAAAAAAACTGGAATTGGTAAATAAATCTGAAATATGATCCCTTAAAAGAAAAGCTTAATATATAAATTTTCAAACCACCAATAAATCTATTCCAGAAAAGGGGAAATATTTTATAAGAGAAATGAGGTCAGCTAAAAAAGCAAACATGACACAGATCATTCTTTCACACATAAAAAGCAGAGTCCATTTCATTGAAAAAATTATTTAGAAAAGCAATACATCAACAATATTAAAATCACCTAGAATTATTAAAACTTTCTTGCTTTTGCTTTTCCTTTTAGATTTTACACATATGCATTCATTATAAATAGTTTAGTAACCTGCATTTAGACCTGTCAGTTTCTTCCCAGGTACCACAGGCTTTAAATTATGACTTTTGATGATTACATAAGTTCCTTTCTGTTAATATGCCATGATTTCCTAGCTACTGCTCTGCTGTTACACATTTAGATTGTTTCCCATTTGGTTCTAATTTTGTATCATTCTGCCCCAAATATGTGCTTGTTATTTTATTTTGTTTGGCTTTTATTGCCAAGTAAATGCCCAGGAATGGGATTTCTGGGTTATAGCTTCTGACTTCTTAATGCGTGATCTGATTGCTTTACAAAAAAGTTTAACATACTGATTCACAATGTCCCCAGTGGGGTGTGACTAAGGAAATAAATGTATATATACCAATGGTCTACTTTACATAGATGGTTAACGTTAATCTTTAACAAACTCTGGAAGTAGGTATCCTTTCCTCTATTTTATGAATGGACAAAAGAAGGACTAGGAAATTAGGGAACTGGCCCAGTCATGAAGGTAGTTGCAGAGCTATCTTTCTAACCTCAAAGCCCCGCCACCTCCCCAGATAACTGGAATATGCAAATTTCAGGGGTTGCTGTTAACATATAAAATGAAAATCCAGACTTGCTTTACTTTGTGTTTTATTCTGTAAATGATTCATCATTTCACCATTTATCTGTTATAATCTTGACATTTTCCTTTCACGAGTATGAAAAACTTGTGTCAGGTACAAATAATACATAAATCACATCCTAGCTCTGCTTTCTTTCACTTTCCAGTTAGTTCTTGTTTTATTATAAGAGCCCCTCTGTGTTTGTGTGGGAAAAACGTTCCTTTTCACTGTTTTTTTTTCCCTTCTTTTCCAGAAGTCTGACATTTTCATTCAATTTTCTGTTCCTTACATTTTCTGATAATTTGATTTGTAAAAATCGTTAATCCTATGCTACCTGGAGTTTTTTTTTTTGCAAGGAAAGGGCAACATCTCCAATGCTCAGCTTGGGAGAACTGCGTATTAAACCGTGAGGCTCTGAGTACAGGGAGGATAATCATGATCAGGGGGTGAGGTTGCATTCTGCTATGTATGAACCCGGAGATGAGGAAATGAAAAACAGAAAGCAGAGGCTCTGAGATGGTTAGGGGAGGAGGTGATGGCGGTGGGCTTACGATTTAAAAAAAATCTGTTATAGCTTCCACAAAGAGTAAATGGAAAAAAACACCACCACAGAAGGGGCAGTGCTGCCAGATTTCTCCCCATTACTTAAAAAACAAACGTGAAGGCACCTCCCGCACAGATGGAGGAGGATGGCTCTGCGAGGGGCGCCGCCGGCCCGCCCCCCCCTCCCTCGGAGCCCCTCCAAATAGCTGAGTCCTCTCCTTCCAGAGGAGCAGGAAAGAAAGGGAAAAGCGAAGGCTGCCGGGGCGCCACACGAGGGGCGCAGGAGACCCTCGGT